GCCCCGCCGCTCGGATGCCCCGGGGCTCGGCCACCTGGCAGCCCCTGTCGCGCGGTGCGCCGCCGCTCCGCCCTGGCTGCCGGCCACTGCCCGGCGGGGGAAGCCGAACGAGACATTTTTTCCTCTGGGCGCCCTGGACGAAGCTCTCAGTGACTCAGGCCGGCGGGGCTTTGGAACAGGGCTGGGCGGCCCGGGCGGCTGCTCCCTCGACCTCTCCGTATCCTCCCGGGAGCACAGACGGTAGCGGTGACCGTCTGATCAGGGTGCGCCCGGGCGCCCGCCCTTGGCCCCCGGCCGAGACCTCCCTGCCCCGGCGGCCCATTTGGAAATTCGGGATTTAGCTAAAAGTTTGAAAGTGACTTGTGTCTCTGCAACTAGGGAGAGTGGATTAAAAAGTTTATACTGTAGTGACAAGGTTGCCCCCTAATGAGAAGGGGTCCTACATTTGGACAGAATTCTAGACATTTCTTATTCGTTTCTCTTTATTTCTCCAAGTTAGACATTTCGTCCGTCGGACACTCGCTATTTTACCGACACGCTGCCTCTGAGTGGGACGAACCACCCGCCTCCCAAGAGCAGCTTCTCCGCCCCCCGCTCGGGCGCAGCTGTCCCTTTTCCCCTCTGACAATAGCTCCCAGCCGAGGGCCGTGGGAATCACCCGCGGCCTTTCGCAGGAGACCGGCCTGTGCCCGGGCTGCGAGGGGGGTGCCCGGAGGGCGGGGGGCCCTGGTGACTCTTAGGGGCCCTCACACTCTCTCGGACGGTAGTGCGCGAGTTTAACAGTATTTGGCCAAATTTAAGTCACAGGGCGGGGGACACCGAGCTGCTCGCTGGGGGCCCCTACAGGACGTCGCGCCCGGGGCTGGGCCAGGAGGAGCACGCAGCCTGTCCTGCTTGGAGAGCGTATCTGGTGGCTGCGTCCTTTAGACCACAAAGGAAGTGGGTCCCCTCAACCGGCCGTTTCCGGGAAAGTGTACCGCAGCCCCTCTCCCCCACAGATGTGCGGGCGTGTTCTGCGCCCTGCGGCTGATAAACTTCGGTGGAGAGTCACTGGTCAGGGCTCTCAGCTTTTTAAAAAGGGAATTTCGCATCGAGATTGGCACTGACACTTAAACCGGAGGAGAAAATACAGCAGAGACTATCTCGTTCTTCCCTGCATTCCGTCATCCTCAGGGCACAGGCCTTTTCGTTTATAGAAGTTTCTCAATAAATTACTGACTAACCCAATTATATAACGCTATTTAAAAATTTTCTCTATTCATTTCTCCAAGGAAAACATAGCCAAGAGTAACGTGAACCACTACAATTATATATTTCTCCACTCGCTATTAACTTATACTATTTTTCATCAATCCTAAACACCATTGATTTTAAGACTCATCATTTTAATTTATGTACCACAAGCAAGGAAAAAATACTGCCAATTAAACTGTGACATACTACTGATTGTAAGAAACATCTCAGTTTCAGAGTTGTTTAAACATGAAGAAAGGGCATCTTAGAATCAATGAAATACAGTGTAAAATATAAAAGTAATCAATACACATGGCAAAAAATTCTAATAGTTCAAGGATGTAAAGTGAAAAGTAAAAGTCTCTCCAGCCTCCCCTTCTAAGAACCATGTCTCCATGGCGGCTGCAGTTAAAAGTTTCTGTCTGCCTCTGCTGTTCAAGAAATTGTATCCACATACAAGTATTCATGTATGTGTATACTTAAAATAAGAATGGAATAATACTATGACTGCTTTTAAGTTGTAACTATTACATTGGTGGAAAATGTTTTTAACCATTTTACAAAACTGTAGAATTTAAAAGGATGCTTTTTTTTTGCTTACTTATTAGAACAGAATGTACCTCTGGTGACAAAAAGAGAGCCACTGGAACAAAAGCTTAAATTCTTTGTGCCTGTTAAGTAGAGGAAAGTATCCTTTTAAGTATGTTTTATCTAGGCTGAAATACAGTGAACAAGGTGAGAGAGTGGAACACAGTGAGGTATTTCTTCCTCACTTTAGTGTTTTCTAAAGATTGTGGGTTGCTAATTGAGCGGCCACCAAAAGTTAAACCTACCTTCAGAACCAGTGGTTTTAACTTTTGTCACACACAAGTGCAGATGCCCGGACCCCCTCCCAGACCTGGGAAATCAAATTCTACATTTTGACCCCCAGGCAATGGTGATGTCTGAGGGTTCCCAGAACAAAGTTTAGAGAAACATTATTCTAAGACAGTGGTTCTCAAACTTTAGCATGGATCAGAATCATCTGGAAGACACAGTGCTGGGCCCCATCTCCAGAGTTTCTGATTCAGTAGGTCTGGAGCGTGGTCTGAAAATCTGCATTTTTAGCAAGTTCCCAGGTGATGCAGGGGTTGAAGCTGCTCTGTGTGTGTGTGTGTGAGAGAGAGAGAGAGAGAGAGACAGACAGACAGACAGACAGACACACTTTGAAAACTACTGCTTTGAGAGATAAAAAGAACTGAACAGGATTTCATATAGTTTGTGAGACTTTCTTTAAATTACACAATATTTCAAGCATAGAGAAGTACAGAGCCTAATATCACACCCGTGGGCCTACAACTCGGTGTGAACATATACATGTAAATACATACACGTCTTACAGTGGTGAAGCTTTTCTGGTACCCTTTTCTGATTCTAGTCTTTTTTTTTTTTTTTTTTTTTTAGTGAGGATGATTAGCCCTGAGCTAACATCCAATGCCAATCCTCTTCTTTTTGCTGAGGAGATTGACCCTTGGCTAACATCCGTGCCCATCTTCCTCTACTTTATATGGGACGCTGCCACAGCATGGCTTGATGAGTGGTGTATTGGTGCGTGCCGGGGATCTGAACCTGCGAACCTTCAGGCTGCCGAAGCAGAGAGCATGCACTTAACTGCTACGCCATTGGGCCGGCCCCTGATTCTATGCTTTTTCCTGCCCAGAAAAGGAACTTTCTCATCCATGTTTTTATACTTTTAGTACATCTGTGTTTCCAAAAAAAAAAAAAAAAATTCGTTTTGATTTGTATGTTTTAAATATTTACACAGAGTAACATACTCTAGGAATACTTGGTCAGTTTGAATTTTTCTAGATTTACGTGATTGATACGTGTCTGTCTAATTCTTTCTTTTTAAACTCTTCATAGTATTCTCTTGTATGTATATACTGAATTTTATTCTTCTAAAGCTATCTGTTTTATCTGCAGTTTTGTCCCCACTTTTATGCCTAAAATAGCATATTTTTGCTTTTTTTTCTGATGAATCGGGCCAGAGGTTGGAAATAACCATTTTCCAATGCCCATCTTTTTTTTTTGTTGCTTTTATTGTTTATTTTCAATGTCATTAATTTTCACATAGGCTTTTTATTCTTTCTTTCCCTTTCTTTGGATTTACTCTTTATTCTCCTAACCTTTTGAACTGATTGCTTAGCTTGTTAATTTTCATTCCTTCTCCTCAAATCACCACTTCAGCTGCATTTTGCAAGTTTTGATATGTACATATATGCAATTCAGGGCTAAATATTTTGTCAGTTTCATTATATCTGCTCCATCTCATCAGTTGTTAGAAGTTTTGACTGGCTTTTTGTGATTGATTTCTCATTTTGTGTTATGGTCTGTTGGCGATGTTCTCTTGTCTGTTTTTTCCTCACACTCTACAAAGTTCCTATACCACTTGTGTGCCCTTTAGAGCTTCTTGAAAAAGATATGAATCTCTCTGCTTCATTTGTTCCATGTCACCTATACCAAAACCCCTTGACTGCCAGTTTTAGAGCACATGTGTGTAGGTTTCCCAGAGTAGAAAATCTTCCTAACCAGAGAGGGCTACCTAACAGGTCGATATTCCTCAGAAATGACGCCTCAACATTGCAGCATCATTCATGCTGGGACCACTTGATACTGGTTCCCAGTTTTTATTTTCTCTGTTTGAACTTGCCTGGCATCAAATAGTATGAGTCATTAGCTATCCTCTCACAGTGTTTGTGGTATTTAGTAGTGCTTTATAAAAACGTGACATCAAAATGGTGCACATTTTAATCCCAAAATGATATGAAAGCAGTTTCTCTTAAATCCATTAGGTGATCTACCTGTTTCGGGCATTCAGGTTGCCACTCCTCTTGGGAAGCCCTCCAAGACAACCGTGTATCCCAGGAACTAGCTCAGGAATTCCCCTTTGGAAGCTAACGGCGGTGATACCAGGGCTCACACGGAAGGAAAGCAAATAGTATTCAAGTTAGGAGTGAGATACTCCAGATTCTGTGCAGACACCTCCACATCTGTTTTTCAAGAGAACAAGTCTGTAATCACGTTACAAGCTAATCAGCAGGAAGCCTGTTTCTGCCTTTTGCTTTCTGTTGTTTCAAATCTGCACTGGTATTTTGGGTTTAGAAGTAAAGTTAATCTCTCATAATGGGTCAACAAATGTATTTCCACTAATTATACCGTGGATAGAATGGTAGACTCTCCCTATGCTTGAGGTACTAACAAAGCGTCAAATACAATATCTGTTAAAAAGAAAACAACAATAAAAACTGTTGTTGCAGTTATATAAGGTGAACTCAATATCTTTTACTTCTGGTCATCTCCCTTCTGTATTAGTCACGGTTCTCCAGGAAAACAGAACCAACAGGACATATTATAGATATAGATACAAGGGGAGATTTATTG